GAGAGAGAGAGAGAGAGAGAGAGAGAGAGAGAGTGAAAAATGTCTCTTCTACTGCGGCCGAGAATGCGGATATTTGTCTTGAACGAATATATAATTTCGATTTCCAGGAGCTCAACGAAAAGTTGTTACGGTCTAATCCAAGATAGATAGACCGGTATATTGAAAAACTTTTTCTTTGCTTTTTTTTTTGTTTTTTTTTTTTCTTTTTTGAGACTTTTATTCTTTCATTCGCCGACCTATTTATTCATCCAATTTTAGATCGTATTTCTGCTTGATATTAACATATTGTTGATCAGTTCCATTATACGCAAAAAGTAATAATACGTTTCACGCTCCGGATGCGTTCATAATTGAATTAAAATTGTCATTAAAATATTACAAATTCGAAGAAAAATTGTTAATACATCGAAATAATCCGAACGCTTTTTCAACGTAGAACGAACGGATCGATATTATTATCTGTATAATAACGGTATTATTATAAAATAAAATTGTATGTATAAAATTAATAATTAACGTGATTTGTATTCATGTAAAAAAAAAAAAAAAAATATTCGTGATATCACAGTCTCAAAATATGTTTAATAATATCAACTATAAAATAGCGACATATAATAATAATAATAATAATGATGATGATGATGATGATGATGATGATGATGATGATGATGATGGATAATAATAATAATAATAATAATAATAATAATAATAATAATAATAAAATAGCGACATACAAATAAAAACGAGTATTATAAAAAGTTTGTTACTTCCTTATATTGTCACATATATTGTTGCAAAGTGGTTAACAATGACTTGAATCTCGCGCGTATCATCATCCTTGCGATCCGCGTCGATTATGAATGCTCTCATAAGCATTCAACGGAACCTTCGCCGGTAAAAGTCTGCTTCAGCGAGATAACAAGCCGATTTATAAGTGGAGAGAGAAAGAGAGAAAGAGAGCAAGAGAGAGATTGTATGTACGTGCACTCGAATATCTTTCTCACGATGTAGACTTGTGCATGTGCGGGTATGAAAGAGTGAAAGAGAGAGAGAGAGAGAAATACATTAAAAAAAAAAAAAAAAAAAAAAAAAAAAAAAAAAAAAAAAAAAAAAAAAAAAAAAAATAAATAAATAAATAAATAAATGAAAATAAATAAAAATACATAAATAAATGAAAATAAAAATAAAAATGAATAAAAGAAAAAATAGTAGTAGCATTGTTTCACGTGGTTAAAGAAAAGTTAGAAACCGATAATACCGATCGAGAGTGCGTATAAACCGTTAGACATTCAAATCGATCGTTGCACATGTGCATACGCCTTTTTTTTTCTTTCTTCCGGAACACATTATCATGAAACAATTCGGAAGTATAATATTTAGTTTTATCTCATCTATAAGTTCGTTCGATTATCATCGCCATAGTTCGAGTTTAAATAAGATTTCAATAAACTCTTTAGCCCTGAATAAATATATACAGACGAATATAGTTCTAGTAAAGGGATCGATAACTATGAGTACGTTATTACTTCTGATGGGAAAAAGAAGACTGACTCAAATATACATATATTTATATATATATATATATATATATATATATATATATATATATATAAAAATTGAGTACGTTATTATTTCTGGGGGAAAAAAGAAGGCACTATGTAGTAACACTGACATGACATATAACATGACACACACACACACACACATATATATACATATTTTTTCTTTTAGTTTTTTTTTTTCGCGCTAATAAACGACAGACAACGATGATGTTTGCTTCTACTGCTCCACTTTTGAAAAATGACATGATCCAAAGGACAATCAATATCGACAGTTCCATTGTCGTTTCTATGTTGCATATTAATATTTCTATTCGTGTAAATACGTTCCAAATTATAAAGCAGCTAGATAAAATGAATGATCGATGCTTGGCTACCGTCGTCGTCTCCTTCTGTTTCGAGAGAGATTCGATCGATGAAGGCTACGTCAAGGACACGAGATTCTGATCGAAATACTTTTTCCGAACGTACACATATAAATATGTACACGTATGTATGTATTTATGTACAAACCCGTATAGAATATATATAAGAATATAATTTTTCTAGATTATTTACTTAGAATTATTCCACTGTTAGAATTAATAGTTTCAAAGATTAAAAATCTGACGTGTTAAATGAGCAAGAGAAAACGTTAGAAAATATATGTCTAACATTTCAATGCAGTAGGGAAAGAAAATGAAGAGACGAGGAACATACGTCATACGGAACGACCGTTACGATACTTCTGATCCTCATGGATTTAAAAGTGTTTGGTGTAGTGAGTAAAGAAGACAAAGGAGAAGGAGAGGTAAAACGGAGAGCATTAGTTAGCAAGTGTGAAAGTACGTGTGTTGTGTGTGTGTGTGAGAGAGAAAGAGAGAGAGAGAGAGAGAGAGAGAGAGAGAGAGAGAGAGAGAGAGAGAGAGAAATAGAGAACAAGAGTCAATAAGATTGTAAGAAACGATGTTTATACCGGCAATCTGTCCATGAATTAGACGAGGATAGAACGACCGGTACAAATCGTTGTCGGTTTTAAAGCAATAGCACGAGGCGTTCGATAGTTTACCGTGAGAAAGAAAGAGAGAGAGAGAGAGAGAGAGAGAGAGAGAGAGAGAGAGAGAGAGAGAGAGAGAGAAAAGGATGCAAAAAAGCGCCAACATGGCGCCGCACCCAACAGTCACGAGGAAATTTGCGAAAAATTTGAGAAAAAAATCAAATCTCGATAGTTCCGAAATTCACCGCACATATATGGGAACGTCGCAGTGATTGGAAGAAAAATATAGGAGATGGAGACGAGAGAGAGAGAGAGAGAGAGAGAAAACCGGTCGCGAGGCTGCGACAGTATGAAGGTTGTGACGGTGTAGAGATGTAGAGGGGCGGAAAAAGGAAGGAATACGAAATAGAGATAAAGAGGCGGCAGTGGGGGATGGGGTGGGGTGGAAAGAGAGCCCACGCGCGAATATTTTAACGGTCGACTTAACGAAGGGCTGCTGTTCAAATCTATGTCGATACACTCGCTAGAGAAAGAGAAGAAGATTGATAGAAAACAGGGAAGAGAGATGCGAAGGAAAGGGAAGGGAAGGGAAGGAAAGGGAAGGGAAGAGTGGGGTGGGATGGGACGAGGAGAGAGACCGTTCGCGGCAAATTTCGCGCGTAAGAGAGAAGAGATCGCGTTTGAGAAAAAAGACGAGAAGCCGCGAAATTTTGAAAATTCTCCTTTTCTCTCTCTCTCTCTCTCTTTCTCTCTTTCTAACTATTAAGTTATAACGATAACGACAACGATGGAGAACAAACAAGACGACGACGACGACAAAACTCACCGTCCGTTCTCTTGATGTTTATGCTATTGCCGGTCTCGATGTTGCACATGCCGCGGTCCATGGTCATTTAGTCGTCCGGCTGCATAAAAAAAGACGATGTTCCTTTTCTCTCGAATTCAGACGTTCTCCTCTTCTGGAAGAATGGTGGCCGATCCTCGGCTAGGAAAGAGCCGTTGCCGTGGGGGTGTACGCTTGCTTCTGCCGCCGTCGTTGCCGTCGCGGGCACGTTCGAGTCAACGAAAACGGTCGGAAACCGTCGAGAGAAAGAGAGAGAGTGAGAGAGAGAGAGAGAAAGATAGATAGAGAAAAAGAGAGCAACGGCGCTTGCGGTGGCGCCGATCGTAAAGACCGATCGCGACGTTTCCTTAACTCGGCCAACGAACAAGAACGAGCGTCACTGTATTCTTTCTTCTTCGTCTTCTTTCTCTTCCTTTCGTATCTATTGGTACAACGTAAAACAGGCGGATCTCCTTTTCCTTTTTCTTTTCTTTTTTCTTCTTTTTTTTTTCTTTTTTTTTTTTTTTTTTTTTTTTCAGGACTCGCGTCGTCTCTCGAAAAGCACACGCCCGATTGTCGCTTTGAATGTCGTTGACAACGATAAGTATCTCCCTGAGCTTGCTACCTTCCTTTCTTCTTCCTCTTTCTGATAATAGTAGTAGTAGTAGTAATAGTCGTCGTCGTCGTCGTCGTCGTCGTCGGTTAACGCGACGACTATCAACTCGAGACGCCGCTCGTCTTCGTTCTCGTCCTTCTCGACGTTAAAACGAAGCGCGCTAAAGCGCCGACCGCGATAGCTCTAAACGTACACAGAGATAACGGGTACACGCTTCGAGATCGCCTTTACGAATTACATCCGGGGAAGGTACATTGAATCGCGCGAGAGACAGACGTTCGCTTTTCTGCCGGGTTACTGCCAGTGTCCGTTATTGACAACGGAAGGATCGCGAGCGCCAACTCGCGGTCGGCCGCGTGCGCTGAATCTCTTGATCCGCCACCTGGCGGATTCGACCGTCGACTGATCAGATCTTATGCTTTGTGAAAGCGCTCGAAGCGTCATCGTTCGATTTTAGTTCGAAACATTTAATTTCGATCGGCGCGCGCAACTTGCGCGGAATTTTTTGAACTATTTCATTATAATATATATATATATATATATATATATATATATATATATATATATATATATATATATCAAACTAAAATCATACTACAGGGTTTTCTCATTAAATAGCCGCTTCTGTAGTTTCTAATTACCTACGTGTTTATCATCTTTCAGTGTCCATCCATTTTCAATTCTCTCTGAAAGAAAGAAAAAACTAAGAAAAATAGTTAAATAAATGTTTTACCGGCTAAATAGTTAGGTAGACGGATAGAAAGATGGATATAGAGAGAGAGACATATACACACACATACAGAAAGAGAGAGAGAGAGAGAGAGAGAGAGAGAGAGAGAGAGAGAGAGAGAGAGAGAGAGAGAGAGAGAGAGAGAGAGAGAAAGAGGGAGAGAAACAGAGAGATCATTAGACTATCGTAGTTGCTAAAACGGGTTTGCGTTTTGTATAAACGCGTTGATATATATATATATATATCAACAAAAAAGAGATCATTTTACTTTTGATTAAATATATTTTTATGTGTGTTTAAAAGTACAAAATGTTTATTATATATATATTATTTATTAAAATTTTGTCGACGATGGTAATATAGCTTGGCGCACCCACGACTTTAATTCCTCTAAGTCAAAGTCAACGTCTGGAACGACTACTCTTTCGATTATATGCTTTACCCTGAAATTATATGAATATAAAAAATTATGTGATCTCGTGCGATTAGCGTGACATAAGACTTACGTTTCTTTTCGTTGAACTTCGGGTATACGCGAAGGAAGTGTTCCCTGTTTTACGTTCTTAAAAATCTATATTCGTTAAAAAAATTAAAAGGACAAATTGTTCATTGTATACAATGAAAATTCGCTTAAATTAAAAATACCTCTAAGCTGCGCTTTATAAGTTGTTCGCTGAGACCAGCACTTTTTGCTACAGAGTGTGCAAAACTGCAAGTAGTATTTCCAACTACCAAGCGATAAAGAAATGCTAGAGACTCGTCATCGTTGTTCGTTATGAATTCAAAAGTCTGGAAACAATAAACGCGATTTGACATAATACTCTGACAAAAGTAACGAGCAGGAAATGATTATGGTACTTGGGCCTCTATCATCGGATTTTCAGGCAACAGCTTTGTTACACGATGAATGTGAGTTGCAGCGAATACGTGAGGACAATAAATGGCTCTCTCGACAAAGCTATCTAGAACAGCAGCCAGTAATGACAGACCATTTGTCTCGGATGTGCCTTTGCCAAACTCATCCATTATTATAAGCGAATTTGGAGTTGATGCATACAATGCCATATTTATCTGTTAATAAAATATTATTGTCAGAATCTATTCGATTTATTTATTCTTAAATTTACCTGTCGAAGAGTTTGTAAAAAAGCACTCGCATCTAATGAAATACTATCTATAGTAACGATTTGCGTTAATATATGAGTCATAACACCAATTGTCGCAGATTCAGCAGGTACGAAACAACCGATATGAGCCATGAAAACTATAAGTGCCACCTGCTTAAGATATATACTCTTTCCGCAAGCGTTCGGACCGGTTATAATTTTGACGAGGCTTTTCCCTTGTCCAGAATAAATATCGTTCGGTACATATGTGGTATGAAATTCTTGTAAAGGATGTCGTCCTTGTTTCACGGCTATAACTTGAGACTTGACCATATTTGGTCTCACGTAATTATGATTCCGTGCCACTTGTGAGAAGGACAGCAATCTGCCGGAAGAGAAAGAAATTTTCTAATGATAGACCATACACCCGGCAATCGTTTCTACGACTATCATCTAATCGACAGAGAATGGTGAACGTTATTCGCTTTTATAACGCAATTTTTGTCTGACGTAAGAGACGTCATGTTAAAATCTGACGTCAAGATTATCCGATGTCATTCGACCTTTATTTATTTTCTTTTATTCAATAAATTCTATAAAAAATATTTACTCACGTGTCTAATTCTGCACACAACTGTATAGCACCTAATATAGAATTTGCGTGTTTATTTATATATCGTACCAATTTCAACATAATTTCACTTTGTCGTTTTGTTATTTTCGACATGATATCACCTATACTATTATCTAATTCTATAAATTATAAATTAGACATAATAATATACATTTAACAATTCGAATAAAATGACGATAAATTAGAATATAATTTCTTGTCACGAACCTCTAGCGCAAGGACTCTTATAATAATGCACACCATTTATTATAAATTTGAATTCTAAACCAGGAATGTCATCCGTTTCTGGTGGAGTACGATTCCATTGTTTAATAGCCAATACGTAGCCGATATTTGGTAGATAAACCATGTTGCAACTTGTAACAGATGTGGGAAGATTATCCTGCATATCTTTTTCGCCCATTTTTGTTAAGAGTTGAGGTAAAGCATGTTTTAGATTACGTACTACAAAAATAAAATTATGAAGTTAAAGTAGAACTTAGAAGAAAATAAAATTCATTAATTAAAGAATTATCCTACGTTCGTCTAATTGAGGATCAACGTCGGATCTAACAACAAATGTATTTTCACGTCTGCTTGTTTCAAAGTCAACTATAAGTTCAATGAAATATTTCACGTAATGCATCTCATCCGTAATAATATTTACTATCTTTCTGAATAATTGTATCTTATTGTCATAATTCTCACAAATATAGGCGATGTAAATTATGTTAGTAACAGTCTGCAAAAGTTACATTTCAATTATAATACTAACGATCTTAATTAATAAGTTCGGAGATAACAAGACAAACTTTATGCAATCTCTGCCAATCGGAAGCTCTCGCTCTTGGACCTAAATAACGGCTAAGTATTGCGTTTGTTAAACGATAAATATCTTTCAAACATGTTGTTAAATTTTCAACGACACTTTGATTAGTTGGATCCAAGAAGAAATCTATCACGTCATATCTTTGATTGAGTATGTCGATATCTCTTGTTGGACGTCGAATTGTTTTCCTATGAAAATTAATAAATATATCTTACAAGAAGAATATGTATATATATATATATATTTGTTTTGTTTTTAATTTCATTAATTAATTATATTTTAATTAATTGAAAAATTAATACAAACCATAAAAACTGTACACCCGGTCTCGATTGACAACAATTTAAGAGTGCGAATAAGCTACCGCTTTGTATTTTCGTAGATGCATTACCGAATTTGAAGAAACTTGGATGATATTTTGTTTGGACGATATTTAATGCTTTATAAGAGTCGTCATCGATCATTACAAGGTTTTCTCTTTTTTTTAGATAAAAGAAAAATAACAAAAGGAGAATTATTAGAAAAAGAAGTTAAAAACAAAATAGAAAATATTTTTGAAGAGAAAATTAAATAAGATAAGATTAAAATAAGATACTTAATAATTATAATAAGATATTTACAAAGTAATGTAATTCAAGGAGATAAAAGATGCTTTGCCGGAAGGATCAAGAGCAATAGTATTCCAATGTTTATCGATAAATCTTAAGAGTAATCCTAAAGCGTGGATCATCGCATGAGACTTAAAATCTAGCAAAGCATTTAAAAATGTAACTCTTTCAGAATTTTCAGCATCTTTTGGTTCCGAATCGAGTTTTAGGCATCGAACTCGATGATAACAAATATCATAGTTATTTTCTTTTTTCGGTAAGGCTTTAAATATGGTTTGAATCGATCGATCGCTCGAGCTAGAACTTTGATTATCCTCTATTGCATCCGCAACTACGAGCTTTTTTAAACAATTAAGAAAATCCTCGAATATTCCAAGTATCGTGACAATGTAATGCGGTTGACATTGTCTATAAAGCATTTTTGTAATATTGAAATTAACGACATCATCGTGAGTGTCCTCCATTACAAATAATTCTGACGTTACGATGTTATAATAAGCTGCACCCAAACGATTGTTCAACCACATCAATGTTAAAATGATCTAACAAAATAATATAATATTGAAAAAAAATGATCATAATTTATAAAATGTATGATACTTGCCTCATCTCTATTCTCTAAATTTTCTATGCGTTTTGCATTACTCGTGCTACTCTGTCCAGTCGGTAAATTTCCCGGAGAAGATGTCTCCATTATATTGTCTATCCTTTCGGGGTCTTCCTCGTCGCTGCTCTCTCCAAATAACATTGCTTCGAATTCCGATTGTCTTTAATTATATCCGAATATTTTAATTATCGTAATTAAAGAAAAAAGGAACAATATGGCATTAAGAGTTTGAAAAATTTCGGGATACAAGTAAATTCGAAAAGTAAGATCATTCGTACATACATAACATTTTTCCCAGTATTTTCTTGTAATTTTTTAATGATATTATTTGCTGAAGAAGAAGCAGTTTCAGTATAATTTTCACTATCCATAGTTTTAATGATTTTCTTTTTATTTCTTATCTTTTTTTTTTTTTTTTATAGAAAAATTACTTCGATCACGGTCAATTACGTTCGATTATACAAACACAAGTACTGTCTACTACTCGAGTGAATTTAATATTTATAATAAAATATAATCTATTATATTTATATAATATTTATATAATTGTATATGTGTTAATGTTTATATAATTAATGATTTACCGCTTCCAAATTAATAAAATTAAATATCAAGGTTAATGTAAAAGGTAAAAATTTAACAATTTAAATAATAAATACTTAATTTGATCTTGTTAGTATTGCTGATGTGTTGTCTACATTATGGCGCGGAAATTGAATTTGAAATTGTATTCTATTCCTATTTCTTGTAAATCTAATTATAAAATGTTATTTATTTATTTATTTTTTTTTTTTCATGGACATATTATATTTATCATTTACGATAAATAATTAAATGTTTGTACACTTAGGTTTGACATGAATAAAAAAGATATCATCGTAACAACGTAATTATTTAATCGAGTACAATTCATTAGCATAATTTTTGTAGCACATATTACCTGTACATAATTACAAAATATGGACCCTAAACCACTTGGAATAGTGTATTCGATGCAACTATTATTCGGCACACAGTTTCGTTAAACTGCATTAATTTATAATGCAATAGCGCATTTACCATATGCTAATAATCTTTGATTCGTTGTTGTACTTATACAAATTATCATATCTTAAATTTAAATACTAAACGAATGTATCAAGAATTACATGGAACACATTTGGTTAGGAGTTAGATCATGTTATTTGTTACATGATAAATCATTATTTGACATTAGTTACACGTACAGATTGAATATTGTTTATGTATAAAAAAAAAAATTTTTTTTTATATATAAAATAGCATCTCTCTATAATAAATTTTAATTTCCGATTATATCGTACCCTACATTTTTTTTTGTTTTTTTTTTTTTTGTTAATTTCTCTCTCTCTCTTTCTCTTTCTCTCTCTCTTATTATAGATTCTTATTGTAAATATTTCAAAAAAACAAAAAAAAAAAAAAGAGAAAAAATATCGAATAGATTCGTACCTATTTTTAATTTTATGAAGAAGTTTGCACAACTATAAAATAAACATTTAACTTGGAATGGGCTGGGGTGGTTGAGGATTAAAGGAAATGGGTCGATAACTCTTCTCCCTCACAAAAGGTTGAACTCCGTTTAATATAAAGCCATTAATGGGATTCCGTTCTTGCTTGATTGGTTCCACTGGGCTTTCATCCTCCGAACTGGCGGCTTCCTCGCTTCGTTCTGGGCTAGCCGACCTATTCAACGTTTTCTCATTCTTTTCATTTTTGTCTTCGATTCTTATACATGCATCATTTATATTTTCTTTGTATTTTATATCTACCTCTCCCTTCGAGAAAGTATCATAATTTCGTTTAATCGTGTAAGCCACATCATAATTAATTAATTAATGTCTCAACGAATTATGATCCATCTATGTATTATTATTATATATAGGCACCTTTCTTTCTAGCCCAATACGTAAATTATGTAGAGAAGCACGTACAGCCCGATGCCCGATTGTTTTGTTTTAATCAAAGCGTTGTTAGATGACTAGAAGTGTTAAAACTACTTACTTTACGTTCATTTTAAAACCTGCATGGAATAAAAATCAAAAGCCAAACATTAGTAATAGCTCTCGTAGTGAACGTTTTATACGTATATAACATAACAGGGCTATGTACTTTTCAATGAAAAAAAAATGTTATATGAGTGTAAGAAGAGATCATGCAACATGCTGCTAAACATACTGTCTTTAATATTTAACGTAATCGTTCGCTAATAAAATTTAGAAATTGAATCGTACATTCAATGAATATTCTTCCTAGATCCATTCCAACATTCTACTTATTTGCTTATTTGATTAAATATTATCGATACTGGCTGGCCGGTATTTAAGCATGGAGAAAAGGCAGAGGATTGGTTCGAACCAACATACCTAGAACGTAGAGGTTTGCCTTTGCTTCCTGTTTGTCTAGAATGTGGCCTGGTATTTGGTTGCGATAATTCACTATTGCTGCTGGCTAAGGATGACCTCGCTGCAACGGCACCATGAGCGAAATCCTTTCTATTTGTAGAACACGATTCAACATTTGTTAAGTACATTTTATATTATATATTAAGTCAATCGATGCCAATCACTTCAACACCTGTTACCTGTAATTATCAGACCTAGGCGTTGAATTTAGATTCGTAGCTTTGCCACCGTGGACATTTGCATCGACAAAGACCGCTGAACTCTTTGGAATATTGCAAATGACTTTTGGATGTACAGTGGTCTGTTTATACTCTAAATGAGATGAATTTTCCGGCGTCCAAGCGTAATATTTCGGTCGATAATCTTTGTACTCTCTTTTCTGTTGTTGTTTCGATTCAGAACTAGCGCCTCTTTTCCTATGATGCTCGTCGCTGCTAACGCTATTCTTACGATTTGCCGTTAGGGTTCCAAGCGGAGCAGATGTTGGTGACGAGGCTGATGATGACGGTGCACCATCGGGATCAGCTCGAGACAATTGTGACGTATCCCAAGCAGAAGGCAAACTACTATCGATCAAAGCGTTAGATATTAATATCAAATGTCAAACTGGTATATAGGTATAAATATTACGTTATAAAATCTCTACCTAAGTTGTTCATCCATATTATACAATCGAAGTTGTTGTCTAATATTCGCTTTCTCTCTTGCCCGTTTCCGTTGAAACTCTTCCTCGACTTTCCTCATAGCTTCGAGCTCTCCTTTTCTCTGACGTTCTTTAGCCTCAGCCTCGCGAGACAATTTCTCAGCCAATCTGCGTCTCTCGATTTGCCTAACGGTTGATTGAAACGTAAATCGTTTACCTTTCGAATTATGTTTAGCTGGTGCTTTGATTTCAGAAGATGATTCTTTATTGTCTTGCACATTCTGTGATTGCTCGACGGTAGGCGATGTACTTCTTTGTTTCATCTCGGATATATTTTCGCAGGATTTTGAAAAGTTCGAGAATCTATTATGCGAATTAATACCTCTCTCAGCGAAGGAAGACCTCTCTCCGAAGGATCTCAAGTTTTTTGATTTTCGCGATTTTTCCTCTATCATAGAAGACTTTTTTAGATCGTCCACGACATTCTTTTTATACTTCGATGCGGTATTAACAAAATTTTGTTTCTTTATAGGACCGTTGTTCTTATAATTCAAATTCTGTGGTTGGTATACCGTACCATTGGCTTCTGGTAAATACATGACATGACCACCGGAAGCTAAATAAGAAAATGATGGAGGTTTCATGATTACAGGGAAGTCGTTTCTGTCCTCAGAATCTTCTTGGTCGTCGTCGTCGTCATCGCCATCAACGTCCTCATCATCAAAGTCTTGTTTCCATCCAGAAGGCGAAGATCGAGTCACGTCCGTAATTTGATTGAGTTGCAATGAGGTTGGTGCACTACTGGACAATAGCCAATTGTCATCGAGTACGTCGCTGGCACGTTTCCTTTCGAGATCCAACGGACCGAGACCGAATGCTCCTGACATCGATCTCTTTAACTTTTGCAGGGAATTGAACGCTGATCCTTCCTTACCCTTTGCTTCAGGATTATAAAGATACATCCTGTTGTCATCACGTGGCAAAGAGAGAGAAAAGACGTGAGCTTTCGGTGTAAATTTTAATGGTGCTGGAATTGGAGGTGGGGAATCTACGCCAGCATCGCTGCTTGATTCTTCGCCTAGATCTTGTTGAGGAGTCCACGTGGGTCTCGTTGCCGGTGTCTTTATTCTGTTCATCGTACTAACGTCTAGAGAATCGTCGTTACCAGCTCCAGCGTCTCCGGAAATACCTGAATCTCCTGATTTGTCGTGCGAACTTCGAGGTCCCAAAGCTATCAATGGTGGAGGTGGCCTCGATAAACGTTCGATCCTTTCTTCGAACATGACCTACAATATATATATAGTTTGTAGTTTTATCATTTTTTTTTTTTTCATATAAATTAGTTTTACGTTAACTTACTGGAATTTCTTCACTAGCTGTACTCATCGTTGGTCCAGGTGCTTCCAACGCTGATAATAATCTCCATGCTGCCGAGGGAGAAAATCTTGGTATTTCTAATTGTTTTTTCGGAAGCGTAGGTCGAAGTTTCAACGAGATATCCTCTGGTCCACTTTTTATCTGAAATTACAATTCGTCGTTATCGAATCGTACAATCGTTTAATTTGTCAATGTACTCGTTAGAACTTACTTCGTCACCGTCGTCCATAGTGTATTCGTTCGATCTGTTGATTTCTCTAACCTGTAATCTCGACTGGATGTGGTGAATTTGTTGGTCTACGCTATTTCGTGATTCTTTGGATAAGGCCTCATCCATGCCAAAATAGAAGGTCTTTGGCGTTGACTTTTCTGTACGCGGTAATCTGTGAAGAAAAATTTGTATTTTATATCTGATACTTCAGAAAATTAAAAAAGGATCATAGCAGTAGTCTTACATGTGCCAGTTCTCGACTGGTTCCTTCGTTTCTGAAATTTTCGTGAGTTCTTTGGCGTTTGGATCCTTCTTTTCTATCAACATCTCACCATCCGACCATCTCTTTTCAATGTTCTTAGTATCATTCATTTTTGTCTCTCTTTTACACCACTTGAGATCTGAATTTTCTTTGTCCCTTCCTTTATGTTCCTGTGGTTCCGGCGTACTTTCCCTACCAGATCCTTGTCCTCGATCATTGAATTTATCTCTACTGCGATGTCTTATTGGACTTTCCGATCTGCTTCTTCCAGTATCGACGACATCCTCAAATTTTTGATTTTTCGCTGGATCATTTGATCTCAGATAATCCTCAAAATCTCTCCTTTGTTTGTCCGAAAATCTATCTTCGATGGAATGTCCAAGCGTATCGAGCCTCTCCTTCAATGGCTTTTTGCCTTGATTCGTAGCTTCATCTTCAAAATTTGTCGACCTCTCAACGTTCCTCTTCTTATTAACTACTCCATTATCTTCTCGTTCCTTTGAGCAATCCTTGCTCCTTCCTACATCATTCCTACGTTCCTCGTACGAGGTCATCTTGTTTTCCATTCTGCTACATCTTTCCACTATAAGTCTCCTCTCCTCGTTCATGCGCGAAACGATTCTATCTGAAAGGATGAAAATTACCATTCTCAACGATCCTCTAGAGAAAGATATAAATTTCATTTAGAAATAAGGATTAAAGAGATAACTCGACTATACCTTCGACAGTTCGTTCCTCGACGGTTGTCGTCTTGGAGTTTTTCTTTTCCGTCTTTTTATGTTCCTCGTTGATCAACTTTTCTTTCGTGCTCTTCGAAGGCTCCACATTCTTACGTTCTAAGGACGCAACGTTAGAGGAATCAAGGGGACTGGCCGATTTCCTACCACAGTTCAGCTTATTCCTCACTTTCCTAGCTACCTGCATCAGTTCCGCCTGGAACTCGGGGCTGCTCATACTCCTTTGAAGTGTGTTTTTGCCATCGAATCTTTTCGAACGTCTCAACTCGTCTCTGCACCATCGATCCTGTTGTTGTTGCTGTTGCTGTTGCTGTTGTTGTTGCTGCGATTGCGACTGTTGTGGCTGCTGCTGTTGATCCTGTTCCCGCCAGGATGGCCTCTTATTCTCGCTAATGGAAGAACGTTCGTTCCTCCACCTTCTTTCGTTCTCGAGTGTTGCCTCGTTACGTTCCTGGTGGGATTGCGTGGACAAGTTGGGCATCCAACTGATCTGTGCCCTCTTCGTTTCCGCTCTAGTCTTAAAAAGCCGTGACCTCCTAGGTGGCGGCTGGACTTCTTCCTCGTGTCTACAACGACTATTATCCTGACCAAGTTCCCACTTATAAGAGTCAGGTGACGAACCGTCAGCCATTACATTGCCAGGTGGTGCCGGTGCTTTGTACTTTTTCTTGCCTTTGTATCGACTCTCCCGTTCTCTGGAATCCCTTTCAGGATAATAACCAGTACAATGACGACGTTCTAAACCGTGGTGTTGTCTACTAGTCGTATTGCAACGTTCCGTTGGCGAATATCTTAGGTCTGGCTCGCTACCAAATCTTTTCAATTCCTGCATTTCATTATCCATGCAATGAGAATCGCTTTGATAATGACAACAGTGATGATCGGACTTCCGTGATCTAGATACACCAATGTTCGACGCCGATGTACTTCTGCTACGAAAGACTCCTTGCTAAAATAACAATACTTGTGAGACAATGTCACAACTGAACATCGTTCTAATTGAATCGTATGTTAATTTACATTGAATGAAAAGGAATATTCGTTTGGCTCAACTTTCACGTAACGAGGCAAATTTATAGAAAACTTAACGAGACTTTGTATAATAATGAAATAACGGAGTACACCGAAGGTCACGTAATACATTCCAAGTGTTTCCGGTAAAAAAAGGCTTTCTAAAACGAACGCTTAACCGGGTTATCGATGTAACGCCTGGCTCGTTGCCAACCTTCTCCGAATCCCATATCTTTGAAACGATGCAAAAACGACGAAGGGATATTAGCATTTTTGTAGTATGTAGTTCACGGCGAAGTATCGAAAAAAAAAAGGACAAGATTTCTTTATACGGTTACGATACTCGTATGATTCGTTGGAGAAATGAATCGGTCAGCTTTTACCTTATTAAGGTCACACCGGGATACTTCAAGGTCGAAGCCTTGTAAATGCTCGTAGACAAAACGTTTAAAGTTATATGACCAATCATCTTTTCGATTGATCATTTTAAAGATTAATCATTCTTTTATCGCTAATTTAAGTTTCTTCTTAGCCACGGTAAAAGATTTAAAGACTATGCTGAAACTTTGAGAACATCTTAAAGAAGAGAGAGAAAGATACAGATGCGCACACACAGATGCAGACACAGTTGGTTACCTTATTAAGATCGTGTGGCAACGTCTGCGCCGAAGGTCTGCGTCCACTTATGGTCCCGCCGTTGTGAATAATACTACCATTATTGGTTGCACGGAGCCTTTGATTGGGTGGCTCTGGAAGGACCTTATGTCCAGGCGGCTGCGAATGGTGTTTCGACAGTTCCCGAGGGAAGGTTTGAGTCCATCCACGTGCCATATCTTGAGATAGCCCGTTCGAGGGACACTGTTGATGGGAACTACCGTTGTTACCCATTTTCCGGACTAGTCGTCTCTCTGACGATGAATATCATTCGTTATCCATCTTCCATCTGCAACAGGGAAGTTTCGAAAGATTCTCTGATAAGATTCTCTGATAAACTATCCAAGATCAACAACATTTTACGCTTGTACGTTTAAGCTTGAATCTCTGTGTAATAAAGTTCATTGAAAATCGTCGCGAGAGGTGAAAGAGCACGTCCGGTGTGAGAAAGAAAAAAAAAAAGGAGACAGGAAAGAGCTCACGATGTCTACGCAATCCGGACCGGTTGGTCGGTTATCTTACAGTTAGAAGCGACTTAACTTTACGTTGGATAGACGTCGACCGAGCGAAAAGAGAGAGATAGATAGATAGATAAGTAGATAGATAGATAGATAAAGAGAGAGAGAGAAAAAGAGAGAGAGAGAAAAAGAGAGAGAGTGAGAGAGAGAGAGTACCGATCAAGATGAGTCTTCTCTCTAAAGTAATCTCTTCCATTCACCGGTACCGATGCACCTGCCCAACCTGCACACGCGACCCGTCGATCGCGACCGGTAGTACCGCTAGCCAGTGACTAACAGCAGATCGCAAAGTGCGGAAGAAAAATCCGAGGAAATGCTGCCGCTTCTTAATGAAACCTTTGGCTATAGGGGAAAACTGGATTTCTCTTTGACATATCGCTAGATTCGAGCGGTATCGAGGCAGATGCGTTAAATAATGACACAAACAGGTTCCATCTTGATCTTGATTTATGGAGAATTATCAAGCAGGATCGTTATTCAAGGATAGGATGCGTTGGAAGCAAATTATGTCGTGTGTCGGTATATTCTTAGAAACCTGTTAGATTATAGAAATATTCAAAAACGATAGTCGGCTATAGCCAGATGGTATATTTCTCATATATAAAGCGTGACTCATTTTGTACGAGTTTATTTTCTTTGCTAGAGGAATTAAATTTAAACAAAATGTAATGTACGATCGATCGTATGCATGCATCTATGTATACAGGTATGTATTTATGTTATCCACGTAGGTAGGTTTATCGAAGTGTCATTGTAGAAAATAGTCGTCTTATGGTTGGAATCACGAGGTAACTTTATACCCTAAGCTCGTTACTAGAGTAGTCTCGTCTCTTTCTTTCTTCCGTTCTTCCTTCGGCTGTTCGTCCCTTTAGGATCAGATTCCTCGGCGCTTGGCAAAGGAACGTTTCACTTCCGTACGCGTGACACTACCGCCAGAGAGATAGCGGAGACGAGAGAGATTGATCGATCTTGTAGTGGAAGAAAAGACGGAGAGACGCCGAGGGGAGATTTCTCACAGTTTCTCCGGGAGACAAGTCCGATCTGAAAACCGGCCGAGGTTCACGCCTCTGTCGGTTACGATCGAATACTTCGATTCTCATTGGCGTAGATCGGTTAAGAGGCGACTTTGATTGCGTGGGTGTCCGTGCTAGGAATGTATTCTCGATTTTTCAGATGGTACTCTCTCTTTCTCTCTCTCTC